CCATTGTTTTTGGAGCCTTCCTAAACACCTTTTATTTAGAGACTTGTTTTAACATAGTTACTTTCGAATTTTCACTCTAATAAACTCATATACGCTGTTTCGAATCTTTAACATTTGTTCTTCCTAGCTAGTACTATTTCGAATTTTAACATTTATTATCTCATAAATGAACGGATTTACCTGAAGGGATGAATACAAAGTTAACGTTCTTGACCCGATCATAACCTGTGCACAACCCAATGAAGAGGTAATTTATTATTCCTTTGTTCTCTTGACTTTACCATATCTCGTAAGCAACATGCAGTGAACATAATTAACACTCTTGGGCTTATACAGAGCAAACTAGAGGGAGCAAAGAAATTATGAGCAGTATGGTATGTATAATCATCATTGCATGGTACTTTCTGGTGCTAGGGTATATGAAAATGGGAATCGATACTTGGAGATGCAAGAGTCTCGGGGAAGCGATTGGGGACTAGATGGAGGATATTTCCGCGCAGCCATGGGAAGGAGAATTGTTCAGCAGTTTTACATATTGGAATTGGAACCGTCGTAAGAAATAATCAGGCATGAGAATTTCTTTCTTATTATCAAATGTTTTATGAGTTTTAAATATATTGTAACCTCCTTTTCCTGACTTTTGATTGTTGTACTTGTAACCACTGTTGACAATTAAAAGTGTCTTTGCCTGTATTTATTCGCAACTAGACTGATACTTTGTTTCGTTTAAAACTGATAAAATATCGCATTAAGTCTAAGTCTAAGTCTAGTCTTTTTTTTTTTTCTACCGAGAGCAACGATTCAGTCTATGTAGAAAATTTACTGATAAAGATAATCAATAAAACGAAAGAAAATTAAAGTTTCTTTTGGACTTTAGTTCATTCTTTGTCAGTCCAATTTATGATCAGTATCTTGAATATCAACTTGTTTATTTCTTGTCACCAACTTTATATGGTCCATAAAACTTCAAACTAGATGATATACTGCTTCGACTTTAAACTCTATTAAAACACGTACACACGTGTAGAACATCATATAGAAAATCATATGATACATTACATATATTTTCAGTGTATATTTTCAGTCTAAATATAGTTTGATTTTTTCAAAACGAACATAATTTCTTAAAGATAAAAAAATTAAACCCATGAATAAAAATGGGATAGACAAAACGATTATGTAAAAATTAGGAAAATTGCGTATAATAACCATAAAAATTATATTAAAATCCATAACCATTTAACCTAAATCTTATGGTTGAAATTTTGCCACATATACTCATTTTTGTTATTTTTTTTAATTATTAACTAGATTTTGATTCACACCAAACGTGAGATTAAATTATTAAATGATTAAATATATTTATAATCTATTTTAATATGTAAATGTATCTGACAAATCATATGATTTCTAATCTTTATAAACTTACCAAATGATATGCATTGTGCATAAATATAATCATGTTAAATTTTGATCAAACATATTTTGATGTCATCACTTTTAATGTTTTTATGTGCAATTGATCTAAACATATGAAAATGTTATTTATTTCAATATATTTTAAGTGTAGAATTAACTTTTATTATTCATATAAATTATAGAGTGCGAGATAAGTTAGATAATTTTAGATTGATAAATTTCAAAAAAAAATGCCACTTTACAAAAATGTCACACTTTGAAATCTTTACAAAATGCTACTTTTTTAAAAAAAATTTTTTTTTATATTATTTATATTTGGGTTAATTATGTTCTATTATGGTTTATTTTGAGCGTTTAAGGGGTTTTAGGTGTCAAAACATTTTTTAAGGTTTATAATTTTAAGATATAGGCTTTATAAATCTATAATTAGTGGTATTTTTTGTAAAAATGAATACCCCTAAATGGCATTCTTGCAAATGTGCACACAAAAATGAGATTTTTGTAATTGTCCCTATTATTTTTGTCTGACATAATAAACAAAAAATAATATATATTTTCCAATAATAATATGTGTAAATATTTTATATATCATATTAATCTAAATACATATATACATAATAAATAATATTATCACAAATATAATAATAAAAAGTTTTAAAATATAAAGAAGTTTTAAAAATAGATGATATGATAAGTCTAAATATTACATTTAGTTGGARTTAGATTTGTAAAKCATGTATWAAYYGMTT